ATTTAAAAATTAAATGTATATATTTAAATCATAGAATGTAATGTTTTGACATATTTATAAACTTGTGAACCCCTTGCAACAAAAATAATGAACATATCCTTCAGCTCCCAGAATTTACTCATGTATCTCTGCAATCCTTTGCTTCTACATTTCCTCATTCCCCATTCTTCATACATACAGAATATACTCCTTTTTTGTCTTGTTTTTTGTTCATCCAGAAAAAATATTTTGCAATTCATCCATATTGTTGCTTATACTAATAGTTCATTTCTTGTTATTGCTAAGTAGCAGTCCATTACATATAATCACCTCAGATTTTCTATATTTCTTGATGGATATTCAAAGCATTCCTAGTTTTTGGCTATTACAAATAAAACTGCTAGAACATCCATATACAAGGTTATGAGGTTAAAGGAGAGCAGTTTCGGAAAGGATATTTTCTTTCAGAACTTTGGAGTAGAATGGCTGAATCAAATGGTAAGTGTGTGTTTGACTATTTAAGAAAATGCCAAAATATTTCATGAAGTAGCTGTATCACTGCACATTTCCACCAATGTTTTCTCAGTAGACAAACCCTGCAAAGGCCTGGATGGATAAACCTGTCTGTAAATATTTCAGAATTCATGTGAGGGAGGGAGACTTGATCTAGCACTCTCAGTAAACCCTGTTTCTAGCACGGCACCTCACTTCAGCTTTTACTGTGCCTCTATAAGCTGGATTCTGACACTCTTTGGCCCAGTTCCTACAGAGAATAAATTAATTATCTCCTGAGACATAAAAAAGAGGAAATTGCTTGGTTGCATGAAGTCAGAGAAAGAGACACAGAGTCCAGTTGTCCTTTTACAGACTTCTAGGCAATGCTTCATTTTCAGTGTCATGATCCCTAACCCCCTATAACTTCAGAAATACCTGGTATCTCCAGTGTCTGAAATTTTCCAGGATTCTAAAAGAGGAGTTAGCTTTTTCTCATTGGAGTCTTGCTTAGGTTCTACTTAGGCAACACCTTTCTCCTTTCTGTAAAGTCAGCTATCACCTAGCAATTTTTCCTCTTCCAAAAGTTGGTTAACATCTCTTTGTCTGTCACTTAACATGGTATTATATTTCTCTTATTGCTTACGTGACACTTCGGCAATGTTTGGAGAGGGAGCAGACATAAACAACTGTATTGTTACAGCTATGCAAAGTAAAACGGCAAAACCGTTTCATGCATATTGGTTGTTAGACTTGGCCACTCCAAGTCTCCTGCCCCTTCTAAGATCTCTGAATGTCTCCCATGATTTAGCAACTAATGAGGAAATGTCTTGTGTAATAGGGGGGCTTCTAGGCCCCTGCTCTAGCACTTACCTCTGTTTGTTTTGATTGAGTGGTGTGCGACCCCGGCTGTGGGACCCCGACCCACAGAGGCAGGCGCTCAATAGACTCGAGGCAGGACGCATGGTGACCGGTACCGACTTTATTGGGATCTCCGGGCGACTCAAGCGGGAAAGGAGGAATCACGCGCGCTTTCTTTGTTCGGTCGACTTTATAGGGACAAAGGGCCTGGGGCGGTAGGAGAGCTGGTGGTGCGGGTGGTGATTGGTTCAGTGGGCCGCTGGGAGGGAAGGTTGCTGGTCTTGGGCCGGGCCAGGATAGAGTGAGATCAGGGACCCTCCCTGCGGGGGAGGAAGGGCCTTCCTTATCGGGAATTAGGTCCTTTCCACATGGCTGGGGAACGGGGCCAAAAGTCCTCTACCAGACATTCCCAACTCCTTAAAGAGGAAAAAGGGGCGGCGGCTGTTCTGGCTACTTCCTGCTGACTTCAGGGTGGCGAAGGGGTGAGGGTAGGAGTTTAGGCTGTCTGGAGAGGGGTATAACAGTATTCCAGCCGATGGATATTGGGCATCGGTTGGAGCATCATTTGATGGACGGTGACTTTAGTAAGCTTCTGGAATCGCTTTTGAAGAAACTGGAAGAGACAGGGTAAGAAAAACAGGATTAGGCAGAGGCCGAGAACGGGTTCAAGGAGAGGAAGGAGGTAAGGGAGAAGTCCATTAAGTCCGCTTCACAGAGGGTTATCCTGGAGGGCCTTCCATCGTTTGGCCAAGTCCTCCTGGAGAGTTTTAATTTTGTCCCTGACGATGCCCGACCGGTTGGCGTAGAAGCAGCATTGTTCGTTCAGGATGAGGCACAGGCCTCCTTTTTCTGCCGTGAGCAGGTCCAGACCTCGGTGGTTCTGTAAGACGACCTCTGCAAGGGAATCAAGCTGGTCCTGGACAACTTGAATGGTAGATGAGAGTAGATCAACATCATTAATTAATTGATGAGAGAGCTGTTGATAGGTTTGTAGGGAATAGCCTAGCCCAGCGGTTCCCGTAGAGACTGCAGCCGTGATGCCAAGGGTGGCCAACAAAGGGATAAACTGGACTGCCCTTTTATTTCTTCCTATTACTGAGTCGAAACTGGGAAGGGGAACAGGATCATCTCCCGAGACGATACTAGCATCGGGGAAAAGGGATGCCACCATGCATATACCTGTCCAGTCCAAATCCACCCTGGTTAGGTTTTGGTAAGTTTAAGAGATAAAGGGCCAGTAGAAGTGGCCCTCCAGCTGGGAGGGGGGCCATGGAGAGCCTTTTTAACCCGAGAAAGGTGAATCCAGGACGGGACCTCAGCTATTTTTATGGCAGAAGGGGTGGTGAGGATAACCGTGTATGGGCCTTCCCACCTTGGAGTGAGAGGTTTTGGGGTGAGATTTTTAATGAGAACCGAGTCTCCGGGGGAAACTACTGGGGGGTTTTCAGAAGATTGTGTGGGATGAGGAAGAGAGACGTTGGCGTGTTCACGAAGAAGGCTTCGGAGAAGGGTGAAATAAGGGAGGTATCCTTCTAAGGGAGCAGCGTCAGGAGGTGGTGGGGTTGAGAGCAGAAAGGGGCGACCGTACAGCAGCTTAAACGGACTAAGCTGTGAGGGGCCCCGAGGGCTGGCTTTTAGTCTGGCGACGGCGATTGGAAGCAGAGTGACCCAGGATTGGCGGAGTTTAATTATTAGTTTAGTTAAATGTTCTTTGATGAGGCCATTGGCCCTCTCTACCTTACCCGAGGACTGCGGGTGATAGGCCGCGTGTAGTTTCCACTGGATTCCTAGGGAAGTGCAAACATTGTCAGTAACTTTGGAAATAAAGGCTGGACCATTGTCAGATTGTATGGTGGCTGGCAATCCAAAGCGCGGAATGATGTCTTGGATAAGATGAGTGGCCACCGTTCCTGCAGACTCTGACGCTGTAGGGTAAGCCTCAATCCAGCCTGAAAAGGTATCAACAATGGTTAACAGATATCGGTACTGTTTATGCTTTGGCATGTGGGTGAAATTGATTTGCCAGTCTTGGCCGGGGAGGAACCCCCGTAATTGGTGGAGTTGTTTGCGGGGGTGACAGGACCCCTGGGGGTTAACTTTGGCACAGGTGAGACATTCTGTATGGACCTTATGGATGGTTTGAGAAAGGCCGTCCGGATGTAGAAGTGGACTAAGGAAGTGGAGCAGGGCCTTAGGCCCAATGTGAAGAGAGTTATGAATATCCCGGATTATCTGAGTTTGTTGCTGCTTTGGGAGAATGAGAAGGTTGTGCTTAAAGGCCCATTCATCTTTGAACGTCACTCCTGGGGTGCTCTGGAGAGTTTGTTTTTCCCGGTCTGAGTAATACAGTTTGTATGACCTGGGCAGGAAATAGAGGCAGGCAGGGGGCGGGTGATTTTTTGCCGTGTCCTTTGCCACCCTATCTGCCAAGGCGTTGCCCATAGCCACTGTGGAGCCAATGGTTTGATGTCCCCTACAGTGTATGATGGCAACCTTGCTAGGGAGTTGGACAGCCTGAATAAGGTTGGCAATAAGTTTCCCATTTAGAACAGGGGTGCCCTTAGTAGTGAGGAAACCCCGTTCCTTCCAGATCATACAATGGGAGTGGGCTATGAGAAAGGCATACTTAGAGTCCGTGTAGATGTTAACTTCCTTGTCTCTAGACCATATTAGGGCTCGAGTAAGTGCCACTAGTTCGGCCTGTTGTGAGGTGGTTCCTAAGGGCAGGGAGTGGGTCTCAATAATGTCGGTTTGTGTAACCACAGCATAGGCGGCTGTTCGAGGACCGGAGGGGTGTGGGATGGAACTGCCATCGACAAATAAGGTGAGGGCCAACGGCAGAGGTTGAGACTGTAGATCAGAGCGGGGAGTTTGTGCCTCGGCTAGTACTTCCGGACAATGGTGTTTTGACACAGGACTTGTTGGGCAAGGAAAAAGGGTGGCAGGGTTTAGGGCGGGGCAGTGTGAGGAAAGTAAGAAGGATGGTGGTGGCCCGTATACATTCAGGGCGACTAGGGGAGCAGACAGTAAAGTATGAGCTTGGGTCGAGGGGAATGGTAAAAAAGCATCCTTAAGATTCAAAACCGAGAAGCACGTGATGTTTGGAGGGACATGAGAGAGTAGCGTATAGGGGTTTGGAACGACTGGGTGTATAGGTATGGCTGCCTCATTAATGAGACTCAGGTCCTGAACTAACCTATATTGTCCTGAGGGTTTGCGGACAGGAAGGATGGGGGTGTTGCATGGGGAATTGGTGGGGATTAAAAGGCCTCGGCTCTTGAGCCGTTCAATTATAGGATGGAGCCCAAGGTGGTGGGCTTTGGAGATGGGGAATTGGGGACGAGATAGAAACCTGGGAGCGGATTCCTTGAGGAAAATTTTAACAGGCCGATGGTGGGCGGCCACAGTGGGGCTGTTGATATTCCAGACTTGGGGATTTACTTCAGGGAGTAGCGTGGCCAAATCCGCTGTGGGTGTGTGCTCTGGGACATGTGCCAAAAGAAGGAGGTTACACTGGGCAGTGGGGGAGAGGGTAATATTGGCATTTAGCTTGGAGAGAATGTCCCGTCCTAGTAAGGGCACTGGGAATTACCAGGAAGGAATGAGTAAATGGGACAGAGGCATAAGAGCATGTGAGTGGCGGAGTTTGGCTAGGGACTTGGGGGGTTCCGTCAACTCCCACAACCGAGACCTGGGAAGGGATAATAGGGCCCGAAAAAGAAGGGAGGACAGAAAAGGTAGCCCCCGTGTTCAGCAAGAAGGAGACACTTTTACCCGCTACCTGTAGAGTGACCCTGGGCTCAGCGAGGGTAACTGGGGTCAAAGAGCCAGGGCCCCACTAATTGTCCAACAGGCCCATTAAATGGGGAAGTGGAGACTCCCCAGAGGTGGACTCCTGACTTACAGGCGTCTCCCATCCGGGGACGGGCATCGACTGCTTCCGCCCGGTGTGCTGGTTTTGAGGAACCGGTACCCTGGGGAAGTTAGGACAGTCCGATTTCCAGTGTCCCTCGAGATGGCAAATAGGGCAAGGCTTCGTTGGGGCCCGTGGCTGGGGGCAGGCCCTAGACCAGTGACCCTCCTTCCCGCACTTAAAGCAGGCCCCCAGGGGGGCGCGGGATTCAGATTTGAGCCTTTGGGGCCCCGCAGGCCGCAGGGCCGCTGCTAGGGCCTGGGTTTGAAGTGTCACCTTCTGCTTTAGGCGGGCCTGGCGTGCAGCTTCCGCCGTATCCTCTCGGGCATTGAAGACTTTAAAGGCCATTTTTACCAGGTTTTGGATGGGAGTCTCGGGGCCCTCCTCCGCCTTCTTTAGTTTTCTTCGGATATCAGGGGCAGATTGGGAAATGAAATGAGAGGCTAGGACAGTGGCCCCATTCTGGGATGTAGGGTCTAGCCGAGTATATCGGACTAGAGCTTCTTGTAGGCAGCCTAGGAAAAGAGCGGGATTTTCATCTGGGAGTTGGGTGACCTCTCTTAATTTATCATAATTGACTACCTTGTTTGATACGGCATCCATTCCTCGAAGGAGATACCGTATCATGCGGTCCCGCCTGGGTATATCAGAGCCCCGACCTGCCTGATAATCCCACTGTGGGTCCTCATTGGGGACAACTTCAGGGCCTAAAGGAATTTGATTGTCTATGGCATGATCTTTGTCCGCCTGGTGCCGGGCAGCGGCCAGAATACGCTCGTGTTCTTCGGCCTTTAGGGTGGAGGTGCAGATGACCCTGATGTCATGCCAGGTGAGGTCATAAGTTTGAGTGAGGTACTTAAACTCTTTTATGTATGTAGACGGATCGGCGGAAAAGGACTCTAAGCGCTTTTCTATTTGTGCTAGATCTTGGAGGGAGAAAGGGACGTGTACCCTAACTAAACCTTCCGCCCCGGCCACCTCTCGAAGCGGAGCCAGGAGGGTGGGCTGATGTGAGCGGATATGGGCTGCTACCAGGGAGGTAAGACAGGGTGCGGTCTCCAAAGGAGGAGGCGCGGAGGGAGTGGGGGAAGGGCGAGGCGAGGCCTCTGAGGCAGGAAGTGCGGAGGGAGTGGGGGAAGGGCTAACGACTGGCGGTAACTGGTTGCTAGGGTTGGCGGGAGGAGACAGATGTTCAGGCAGATCCTCCTGCATTGAGTAAGGCGGGGGAGAATTAATAGAGATAGCGGAGGAGGTTTTGCGAGAGACCTGGGCTAAAAGAACCTGATGCGTAGAGCAAGTGGAACAAAGGTCCGGGTGGGTACGGAGATCCCAAAAAGCCTGTACATAAGGCACCTTACGATCTTTGCCTGTACGGCGGCAGAAATTGTCAAGGTCATGAAGGATATTGGAATCGAAAGTGCCAGTTGGGGGCCAATGTGACTGGTTATCGAGCTGATACTGGGGCCATGCCGCTTGAGACAAGAAAATGAGTTTCTTTCGCCTCAGGGTTTGAGAGTATCCCAATTTGGAGAAGTTTCGCAATAAACACCCAAGAGGGGTGTTAAGGGGTATTTTGGACTCCGCGTTCCCCATGGCGTGCGCAGCAGTGGTTCCCTGCCAACGGCTGGGTAGATGCAGGAAGAGGCGTCCCCCTTGCACTGCAGATACCCAGAGAATTAATGGAGGAAAGAGTCAGAGAGGGCGTCCCCTGTCTGGCAGTTCCCGGAGGGGCTCCTGGAGCCGGAACGGAGGACCTTCCTCGGGTCGGCCGACGCTAGGCCAGGGGTCCGGAGAATTGGGAGGGACTACTGTGCACACCACTTGGAAGGAAAGGCAGGAGAAAAAAAAATGAACTTACCTTAGTCAGAGCGTAGAGGTGTCGGATCAAAAAAAAAGGGTCACCGGAGGAGGGGGCTGCGGCCGGGCCGGCAGCCCGCGCTCCCGGGTTTCGGCACCACTTGTGTGACCCCGGCTGTGGGACCCCGACCCACGGAGGCAGGCGCTCAATAGACTCGAGGCAGGACGCATGGTGACCGGTACCGACTTTATTGGGATCTCCGGGCGACTCAAGCGGGAAGGGAGGAATCACGCGCGCTTTCTTTGTTCGGTCGACTTTATAGGGACAAAGGGCCTGGGGCGGTAGGAGAGCTGGTGGTGCGGGTGGTGATTGGTTCAGTGGGCCGCTGGGAGGGAAGGTTGCTGGTCTTGGGCCGGGCCAGGATAGAGTGAGATCAGGGACCCTCCCTGCGGGGGAGGAAGGGCCTTCCTTATCGGGAATTAGGTCCTTTCCACATGGCTGGGGAACGGGGCCAAAAGTCCTCTACCAGACAAGTGGCATGTGCTCTGATTGATCTGTAAGTTTCTTGAGTAGTTGGCATCTGGTTCTGATTGATCCTGTCCAAAATATACTCTGCTAAATAATTTTGATATCACTCTTGAATAAAGGAACCCTAACCCATATCATCTGAGGAGGAATTGAATGAAATCAAGTATGAGGTTAAGAGAGCAGAGTTAGGAAGGATATTTTAATTATTTTAAAATACAGTAGGTCTTAGTGACATGTTCAAAATAAACCATATATTTAGATCTAGGGCAGAATTAATTTCAATATGAACATGAACCTTCTAAAGGTTAAACCTTATCAAAGTTCAAATGAGCAGTTTTATTTTTTTCCTAACCTTGACAAGAATAATATAGCTACAGTTATATCTATCTCTAACATATTATATACAACATAATACATTATTTTAAAATATAACAGATATTCTATGTTTAGATTATAAAAACAATGCAGGCTTTTTTTTTTTTTTTTTTTTAAGACGGGGTTTCACCATGTTGGTCAGGCTGGTCTTGAACTCCTGACCTCAGGTGATCAACCTGCCTTGGCCTCCAAAGTGCTTGGATTACAGGCGTGAGCCCCCACACCCAGCCACAATACAGCCTTTTACAGCAGCGCATGCTGAAAAACTTAGCATAGGAAAGTCTGAATAAGAGGCTGGGCATGATGGCTTATGCCTGTAATCCCAGCACTTTGGGAAGCCAAGGTGGGTAGATTACTTTAGCCCATGATTTTGAGTGGGCAGCATGGTGAATCCTCATCTCTACTAAAATACAAAATAATAATAATAACAATAATAATAACAATTAGCTGGGTGTGGCAGCCTGCACCTATAATCTGAGCTACTCAGGAGGCTGAGGCACAAGAATCGCTTGAGCCTGGGAGGAGGAGGTTGCAGTGAGCCGAGATCATGCCACTGCACTCCAGCCTGGGCGACAGAGTGAAACTGTTTGTCAAACAACAACAACAACAACAAAGTAAGAATAAGAAAACAGAAAACTCTGTCATTTTACAACTGAGAAATGATGATGATATATTATATCCATGTAATTATTTTTCTTAGTAAAATAAATAAATTTTTCTTTTGAGGTTTTCCTATCTTATGTATTTGACATTTGAGACCTTATTTAAAATATCTACATTATAATGATTTCAGATCCCATCCTTTAGATCACAGGAGGCAGTCAATTCTTTTATCCAAGAAAATTCTGGAAATCCCGATAATGTATGTATACAATACACATAACATGTATTGCAAATTGACACATTGGCTGTATTTGGGAATTGTTTTGTTGGATTGTATTCTGCTTTTGTTTTAAATCTGTGGAATTCTTAGAGTACTTCACTAAATCCAATGGTTTCTCTGGGTCATACTCTTCCTCCATCAGTTTACTTATAGGATAATTATAAACCCCTCATTTAATTTCCCCAAATTATATTTCAGGTGAGGCTATGCTGTGTCATAGAACTTGAGTAAATGCAGATACATAGAGCACAATAGAGGAAGTATATTGCACTGCTATTAGAAATAGTTTCTCTTAGTGTGTAGATACTAAACAAACCAGAGAGTTCATGTCTTCCTCCTGGTAGGTTGCTCCTCAGTCAGGGACATCTCAGCTCCATCAGCAAGTAACTTCTGCCATCTAGTACCACGTATACCAGGAGACAACCTTCCTGGATGCCAGAAAGAATAGCAGGTTCCCTCCCTTGTTGTCCAAGGAAGTCTTGCTTATGTAATGATCTTGTATGTTTGACAGTGTTAGTAGCCATTCCTTCATAAAAACACCATACCCCACCTACAATGATGTGATTAGGCTTCCCTGACCCAAGAAACACATTCACAGTAGTTATTGTACATTTCTAAAAGATAAAACTATTTAGTCTTAACTTCATATGTAATACCAACATACTACTAAACACATTTCATACTATGTTTAGTTTGGACTAAATATGTTTATGTGGGGATGGGGGGAAGAGGATCTAACTTTCCAAAGGCAAGTGATCCTAAAAGTAAATATACTCAATTTACATTCACATGCAGGATATATAATATTTCAACCTGCAGCTTCTGCACTGAAAATTGTTGAGATTCCATAGTTTTTCAAAGTCAAGAGTTGTATACTTGCTTTATATTTGAGTAACTAAGGAATCTAGTCCTGTGAGTTTTTTCTAAAACAGTCTGTTATGGAAGCAAGTTAAAGTTGTTTCCAACAAAAAGAAAGCTGCTGGAAATGTGTTATTTTTTCCTTTTTTTAAAAAAATCTTTATTAGTTATAATTTATATATCATGCAATTAATTCATTTAAAACATACAGTAATGGCTTCTAGTATATTAATAGATGTGTACAACTATCCCTACAGTCAACTGTAGTTTTCATCATCTCAAAAAATTTCCATGCCCTTTATTTGTACACTCCCATTGCCCAATGCCCCCATCCCTAAGCAATCCCTGATATATTCTCTGTCTCTGTAGAATTGCCTATGCTAAACATTTCAGTAAAATTATTGTATAGTGATGTATATTAGTTCATTCTCACATCTCTATAAAGAACTGCCCAAGACTGGGTAATTTATAAAGGAAAGATTTAATTTACTCACAGTTCTACATGGCAGGGGAGGCCTCAGGAAACTTAGAATCATGATTGAAGGGGAAGCAAACACGTGCTACTTCACATAATAGCAGGAAAAAGACTTGTCAGGCAAAAGGTTGAAAAGCTCCTTATAAAACCTTCAGATCTCATGAGAATTCACTCACTATTACTAGAACAGCATGAGGGTAACCACCCCCATGATTAAATTACCTCCCACCACACATAGGGATTATAAGAACTACAATTTAAAATGAGATTTGGGTGGGGACATAGCCAAACCATATCGCAATGTAAGGTCTACTTGAGTGACTCCTTTCACTTGGCATTATGTTTTCAAGGTTAAATAATCCTCTGGTGTGTATCACTACTTTTTTATGGCTGATAAGCATTGTATGGCTACCACATTTTAAAATGCATCACATTGACATGTGGATTGTTTCTACCTTTTGACTACTGTTAGTAATGTTGCTATAT